AAAAAAAAAAAAAAAAGCTAACCATCACGTGAGCTTTCAGCGAGTCTTTTTGCTGGTGGACAGCCCTGTCTCGATGTTGATGGCTGCTGACTGATCAGGGTGGTGGCTGCTGAAGGCTGGGGTCGCTATGGCAATTTCTCAAAAGAAGACTAATGGAGTTTGTCACATTGATTGACTCTTCCTTTCATGAAAGATTTCTCTGCAGAAAGCGATGCTGTTTTATAGCATTTTACCCACAGTAGAACTTCTTTCAAAACTGGAGTGAATCCTCTCAAATCCTGCTGCTGCTTTATCAACTAAGTTTATGTAATATTCTAAATCCTTTGTTGTCATTTCAATAGTGTTCACAGCATCCTCACTAGGAGCATATTCCATATCAAAAAACCACTTTTGTTGCTCAGCTGTAAGAAGCAACTCCTCAACCGTTAACATTTTATCATGAGATTGCAGCAATTCAGTCACATCTTCAAGCTCCACTTTTAATTCTAGTTCTCTTGCTATTTCTACCACATCTGCAGTTACTTCCTCCACTAAAGTCTTGAACCCTTCAGAGTCATCCATGAGGCATGGAATCAACTTCTTCCAAACTCCTGTTAATGTTGATATTTTGCCCTCCTCCCATGAATCACAAATTTTCTTAATGGCATCTAGAATGATGAATCCTTTCCAGAAGGCTTTCAATTCACTTTGCCCAGACCCTTCAGAGGAATAAATCACTATCTATGGCAGCTGTAGCCTTAAGAAATGTATTTCTTAAATAATAAGACTTGAAAGTCGAAATTACTCCTCGATCCATGGGCTGCAGAGTGGATACTGTGTCAGCAGGTGTCTTAGTCATCTAGTGCTGCTATAACAGAAATACCACAAATGGATGGTTTTAACAAAGAGAAGTTTATTCTCTCATAGTCTAGTAGGCTACAAGTCCAAATTCAGGCTATCAGCTCCAGGGGAAGGCTTTCTCTGTCAGCTCTGGAGGAAGGTCCATGTCATCAATCTTCCCTTGATCTGGGAGCATCTCAGTGTGGGAACCTCAGGTCCAAGGACGCGCTCTGCTCCCAGCACTGCTTTCTTGGTGGTATGAGGTCCCCATGTCTCTCTGCTTGCTTCTCTCTTTTGTATCTCAAAAGAGATCGGCTACAGACACTATCTAATCTTATAGATCTCATCAATATAACTGCCACTAATTCATCTCATTACATCATAGTGATAGGATTTACAACATAAAGGGAAATCACATCAGATGACAAAATGGTATACAATCATACAATACTGGGAATCATGACCTAGCCAAGCTGATAGATATTTTTGGGGGACACAATTCAATCCATGACAGTAGGCATGAAAACAACATTAATCTCCTTGTACATCTCCATCAGAGCTCTTGTGCTCATTGTCAATGAGCAGTAATATTTTGAAAAGAGAAATTTTTTTCCTGAGCAGTAGGTCTCAACGGCAGGCTTAAAATATGAAGTAAACCATGCTGCAAACAGATATGCTATCATCCAGGCTTGCTGTTCCATTTACAGAGCATAGGCACAGTGGAGTTAGCATAATTCTTAAGGGCCCTAGGATTTTTGGAATGGTAAATGAGCACTGGTTTTAACTTAAAGTCACCAGCTGCATTAGCCCCTAACAAGAGAGTCAGTCTGTCCTTTGAAGCCAGGCATTGCCTTCTCCTCTCTAGCTATGAAAGTCCTAGATGGCATCTTCTTCCAATATAAGGTTGTTTCATCTACACTGAAAATCTGTTGTTTAGTGTAGCCACCTTCATCAATTATCTTAGCTAGATCTTCTCGATAACTTGTTGCAGCTTCTACATCAGAACTTGCTGCTTCACCTTCCACTTTTATGCTATGGAGATGGCTTATTTCCTTAAACCTCATGAACCAACCTCTGCTAGCTTCAAACTTTTCTTCTGCAGCTCCCTCACCTCTCTCAGCTTTCACAGAATTGAAGAGAGTTAGGGCCTTGCTAGGGATTAGGCTTTGGCTTCAGGGACTGTTGTGGTTGGTTTGGTCTTCTATCTGGATCATTAAAACTTTCTCCATAGCAGCAATAAGACTGTTTCGCTTTCTTATCATTCAGGTGTTCACTGGAGTAGCACTTTTAATTTCCTTCAAGAACTTTTCCTTTGCACTCACAACCTGGCTGTTTAGGGCAAGAGGCCTGGCTTTCAGCCTGTCTTGGCTTTTGACATGCATTCCTCACTAAGTTTAATAATTTCTAGCTTTTGATTTAAAGTGAGAGACGTGCAACTCTTCCTTTCACTTGAACACTTAGAGGTCATTGTAGGGTTATTAATTGGCTTAATTTCAATATCGTCATGTCTCAGGGAATAGGGAGGCCTAAGAGAGGGGAACGGCCATTTGGTGGAAAAGTCAGAACACATACAGCATTTCTTGAGTAAGTTCACCATCTTATATGGGCGTAGTTCGTGGTGCCCAAAACAATTACAACAGTAACATCAAGGATCACTGATCACAAATCACCATAATAAATATAAACAAACAAAAAAACCAAACCTGATGCTGTCAAGTCGATTCCGACTCATAGCCAACCTATAGGATAGAGTAGAACTGCCCCATAGGGTTCCCAAGGAACAGCTGGTGGATTTGAACTGCTGGCCTTTTGGTTAGCAGCTGACCTCTTAACCACCACACTACCAGGGCTCCATAAAAGATATGATAATAACAAAAAAGCTTGAAATACTGTGAGAATTACCAAAAACGTGACACAGAGACAAGAATTGAGCACATGCTGTTGGAAAAATGGCGCTGACAGACTTGCTCAACACAGGGTTGCCACAAACCTATTGAATTTGTAAAAAAACTCAGTATCTGCAAAGTGCAATAAAATGAGTTATGCCTGTAACAGAATCAGAAAACTCTTTCATACAACTGAGACCGACATGGGGAGCTGTCTTTTCTTTAGTAAATATATCACTCCCATATCTGAAGAACTGAACATTTCACACTAACCATCCTAACCAGGAAAATTACTGTGACTAGAGTTGCAAACACATATACCTACCCGTTCATCAAACCCAGTGATCCGTGCGTGGTATTCAGGCAATGGCTTTCCTTTGCCGTCATACTGACCTAGAACAAACCAAAGATGTCTTAGATATAACCTGTTATAGAATCCCTGTATTTTTAGAACATATTTGTTGATATAATTTAAAAAATCTAGCATGAAAAATTTTTTTTAGTAGTTTTAAAGAAAATGGACTTATGCAGCTATTTAATGAAATTAACAAATTCACTAGATAATGATAGCTGCTTCTTCTAATACACTAGAAAAATTCTAGATAGGAAAAATAATGCACTGAGCTAGAGTGGATCAAACTGCACACTGGGAGGCTTACATCTTCAATGTTTTTCTTGCAATTGATTATATGTAATTGCACAGCTATTAATAATAACAAAGAAAAGTGTATCTCCAATTATGTTTTTTCTTACATTCACTGGAATGAGAACATAAATAACTAGATTAAAACACTTCTTCTCTGGCAAACTCCAGTTTGACAAACACGGAATGTTCATAATTTCCTCTGAAAAATCTATGCCATGTTCATATCCAGCCAACGTGCTGGGTGTCTCCATATTCAATGTCACAATCCTTCTTCTCCTAACCTTTTTCCTGAAGATAAGTCATTTATCATTATCTCTTCACTTTTACTGGGACCAACATTCACATGCCAGGAAATGCATGGATTGACACCTGTGTTGCATTTCTGAAGAAAAGTCATTCAGGAGCAAAGCACGTATATGTTCAGAGGAAATCTATTATTACCAGTTGCCATTATTCTTAGTGAGAAACTCTAACGCTTCTCATAATTAATAACATAAACTATAATCTCACTAGACATTTAGTACATTGTACTAATGCATAATATTTAGATTTTCTTAATGAAGAACAATACGGTAAAATCTAAAATTCTTTTAAAAAAAAGGTAACTGTTGGGGGCAGTGAGTTTATGTTAGTGGTGGTGTAGTAATTTGTAAAGGGATAGTGAGCACGGTTGTACAACTTGAGGAATGTAATCAATGTCACTGAATTATATGTGCAGAAAATTGTTGAATTGGTGTGTTTTCAACACACACACACACACACACACACACACACACACACACACACACATAACTGCTGAGATCCCAAGGCACTATTTCAGAATCCAGAAATTCTTGCTACAGCACTATTCTCCTTAAAGTATTGTTTTGTCACTCCTGAAGGGAACTCACCAGGAATCTCCAGCTCATTTCTCAAGAATTCCGCTTTGAAGTTGCTCATCCAGGGTGAGCACTCTCTCAGATTCCCGGGCGCCTTCGACAGTTCACTCATTTTTAAAAATAGCGAGGTGGTGATGTTGCTGAAGTCACTAAGCCTCATCGTAGGTAGCTTAGAACCGCCTTTCCCAAAATGCTTATCAAATTCTTTTCCAAAGGCCTGAAATTAACATTAAAGATTAATGTTTAGTTTCAACTCTGGAAAGCTGAAAGGCTTATGAATGTTTATAATAAACAAGTGTCCAATTATATAGTTTCTTCTGTGCTTTTAAAATTTATAGTGTTGTTTTTTCTTGATTATTTTACCACTGTAAAACCTTTAGAGCCTGCCTTTTTTTGTTTCTTTGTATTTCTTTAAAAAAGATAAAAAGGATATGGTTAGTATTGACTTGTAGTCATAAATTCTAATAAAGTCTTTAAAAACTCACAGTAGGTCTTTAGGAAAGTTATTTAACCTCTTCGCGCCCATTTCCTAGTTATTGATGTAGCTCATTATGATGACGTGAGTAACAAGGAACAAAGTAATAAAACCCAGCAAAACAAAGAGAGTAATTCGATAGTGATGAACAGCCCATAATTCTTCATAAGAGCTGAAGAGACAAATATAAGAATGTTACTTTCCTTAGTAAGGGTCTTTCAAGCCATTATTTTGGATCATAAACCAGTATAAACATAATTTAGATAATTTACATTTCTAAAAGCAATTATTATTAGAAGTACTCTCTTTTGAAATATATCAGTTCTTTCTTTGTAACAGTCTCTATGAAAACATTTATTTGAATTATAATCCTGATACCAAACAAATAAAAAACAAAACACAAGAGTATTATTAATAATGACTTGATAGTTTAAACCTAACAAAGACCTAACAGACTTAAGGATCTGCTGAAGTATAATATCAAGCAATTCTGTCTTGGTGGATTATTACTTCAATGAATTAATGTAAATTATTTGTTGATTTGTTACTAGATGGAAAGTTCTGGACAGATTTTCCAAGGCACTAGACATTAAGCGTAAAAAACAATCATGTCTAGCAGAAACACTGCGGTGTTCCTGCCACCTTGCTGCAGCCTCTTGTTCAGATGTGCTCTAGGAAGAATGGTGGGTCCACACTGACAGTTCTGATTCACACTGACAGTTCTGGGGCAGTCTTATGGGATCCAGTATGCTGGGAAAGGAAGTGGTCACAAATTCAAAGGGACAGTGTGGTAGATTAATTATTTTTGTGTGTGGCCTTTTTAGCCAGGGTCTTGTAATTCCCACCCAGGTGACTGTGTGATAGGGTAATTGTGGCCCACCAAGGGGACTGGTCAGTTTTATCTTAAAAGAGAGCCAATTCCAGAGCAGAGAGGAGGGACACACCACCACCAAGGGAGAGACCAGCAGGAGAGACCTAGCAACAGAGACCCAGCAGCAGGAGAGGGTGAGGTAGGCTTCCTGGCCCATGGAGAGAGAAAGCTGAGTGTCTCTGGGGAGAGACTCAGGGCCAGGGAGAGCCATGCCTGTGAGCACAGCTGGGGAGAGGCTATCCTGATGGAAGAACTGTATCCTGAGTGTTCTTGAGCCTGAATTGTAACTGTTACTTTCCTAATAAACACCATAATTGTGAGTATGGTCTATGAGTTCTGTGTGGCCATTGCAATGAATTATTGAACTTAACAGAGAAGTAGAGAGTGCTGGGGAAGGGATGGATGGTGTCAGAATTAGTAAACATGGCAGAGAGAGGAGGTTTGTCTGGCCTCCACCTCAGGGCAGTCAGCCTTGTGCTGTTGATCTTTGTTCTCCTTCCCCCTTGTAGGCTTGGAGGAGTCAGACACTGTCCCCATGCTGTTTTTACAGACAGTGCGTAGTATTTACTGGGGACTGTGTAGAACTTTTTCATCCTGAGGTGATGAACAAGAATGCCAGACATTCATTCTCGGGCTGCTGAGGAGACAGCCCCATTGTAGTTAGGTGTCTTAATTCAGTTAGGGCAGTTCCCACTGTCAAATCTGACTTTCGTAAAATAGTAATCACAGCAATCTTCAAGGATGCCGGAGCTCCCTTCACAAATTTGTTCCTCACAGTTGTGGTAAAAGGTGTGTCCTCTGGGCACTCCATGTGTGGGTCTGTGAGTCTAACTTCATAAATTCACTCTAGCATGCCAACTTCCCTAAACCTTTGGGTACCTTCTTCTACAGCATACCAAGGCAGGTCTGGTACTTCAGCTTGATTTAGTGTAGGCCACCTCGTAACCCATGCTTCAGCAACCCAACCAAATAAACTATTAGATTCTTTCCTGACTTCTCGAGCTAAAATACTGAATGAACAATCTGTGCTTAGTGGACCCACATCAATAAACCCAGACTGATCCATCTTTATGTTCCTTGCACCATTATCCCACACCCTTAATAGTCATTCCCACACATATTCCCCAGGTTTCTGTTTGTACATATTAGAAAAGTCATGTAGTTCTTTTGGAGTGTAGCACACCTCCTCCTGGGTTATACTTTGTACTTCACCTTTTGGGGCTCACTGGGACTTAAGCCTAGTTATAGGTCTAGAAGCCAGAAACCTTAGTATGGAATTGTTTTGAGAACATTCAGCATTGTCTTGTAAACCATCTGCCTCAGGAGATGCCCCAGGCAATGACTCAGGCAAGGGCTCTTCAGAGGCAGCTGGGCTAGGCCTAATCTCATTAGATGGGAGTGGAGGGGCTAATGGTTTTTCTGGGCAGGGTGGTTTAGCAGACAAACATGAAATAATCTCTTCAGATGGGACTGAACCTGGTAGGAGTGATTCAATGGAATTTAGGGGCTCAGTGTCCCTAGCTTCCTGATTATCTGCCCATATGTCCCCATCCCAAGTTTCAGAATTCCATTTCTTCCCAATCGATGCCTTTACTTTAACTTCAGACACCTCTTGAGGCTGGCAATTGAGCTGGTGCTGTAATTTAGCCACTCTTACAATAAGACTCTGGGTTTGGTTTTCGGCAATTTCAGCTCTGTTACTACAAGAAATAAGGCTTTCTTTCAAATCACAAGTGGAAGCCTTGAGATCATTTATGCGGTGCTTGAGCTTTGACTCTGAAGCCCTGAGCGCATCTCTTTCTTTCACCAGTTTGTCTAGCGAAAGTAGGACCAACCAACCAGCTTCCTTATACTTCTCATTCTGACAAAAGCTGTAGAAAGATATCACACGTGCGTTCACCCCAAGCCTCGCCTTTCACCAATACCTGATCTACTGGTGGTGATATTTTGGGTATTTGTAACGCCACCTCACACCATGGACTAGCAATGCCCTCTTTACTGCTGGAAGCAGTGTCATCAAAATCTTTACAACTAACCAGACTTGAGAACCAATTTAGAAAACTCATCCTTACAATTTAGTTTCTCTAGAACCACTCTCAGTACCAAATGTCTTAGGCTGGGTTCTCTAGACAAGCAAAACCAGTAAAGCGTATAAATATATATATAGAGAGAGATTTATATCAAGGAAATAGCTCATACGATTGTAGTTGTAGAGGCTAGAACGTCCCAAGTCTGTGGATCAGGGTAGAAACCTCTCCCAATTCACGTAGCTGCGGAAGCTGGTGAGCCCAAGACCGGCAGGTTGGAGAGCAGGACTCTGCTCACAGGCTGTGCAGATCAACGAATCCCAAGTTTGGCAGATAAGCTGACAGCTCAAGTCCCAAGAACTGGAGGTCAGAACAGGAGGCAGCCGCAGGATCCAGAGTGAGCGAAAAGCCAGAACGTCTGTGTATATTCAGATGCAGGCTATACTCCCAAGGAAACTCCCTTTCATCTGATTGGTACTCACAGCATATTCAGTCATGGGACTGATCACATATAAACACTGAGAATCATGGCCCAGCCAAGTTGACACACAATCTTAACCATCACACCCCACCAACCTAGAATTCGGCATCTAGTGAAATTATCCTTCAAAAGTGAAGGAATGCCCCAGAAATACAAAGTTTGAGGGAAGCTGTTGCTAGTAGACCTGTGTTGCAAGAAATATTAAAAAGCAGTTCTTCAGAGAGAAGTAAAATAATAGAGGTCAGAAAGTTAAATTTAAATAAAGAACACAGAGAAAAAGAATAAAAGAAGGTAAAATGAAATCTTTTATTGTTCTTATTCTTAATTGATCTAACAAATAACAATTTGTTCAAAATCATAGCAACAATGTACTCAGAGATTTATAGCTTATAAATAAGTGAAATGAATGACAGCAATGTTACAAGGGACAGAAGAGAGAAACTGGGAATGCACTAGCCATGAAGTGGTGTAAGTTTATTTGCAAGTAGACTTAAATGTATATTAAAAACTCTAGCACAACCACGAAAATAACGTTAATTTTTTAAAAGAATAATTGACATGGTAAGAGAAGAGAAAAAATAGAATCACATAAAATGCTCAATTAAAACCAGAGAAGGTATAAACGAGTGGAAGACCAAAAAAAAGAAAGAATAAGGGCAAAAAATAGAAAATGGTTACAAATATGGTAGATGTTAAAGCAAATATATAAACAATCACTTAAATTTAAATTGAAAGACAGGTCATCAGAGTGGCTAAAAAATGAGACCCAACTATATGTTGTTTACGAAAAATACATTTTAAATATAAAGACACAGGCAGATTAAAAGTAAGGGACGGATATTCAATGTCATTAGTCATTAGAGAAATGCCAATCAAACCACAGTGAGTTACTCCACTCCCTCTAGGATGGCTGTTAACAAAAAAATGGAAACTAACAAGTTTTGGAGACGATGCGGAGAAAATGGAACCCATATGCATTGCTGGTGGGAATGTAACACGGTTCAGCCACTGTGCAAAAGTCTGGTAGTTCCTCAAAACGTTACACATATAATTACCATATGACCCTGCGATTCCACTCCTAGGTATACAACCAAGAGACCTGAGAGCTCATGTAACCAAAAGGATACACGAACATCAATGTACACTGCAGCATCTTTTACAACGGTCAAAAGGTAAAAACAACCCAGGTGTCCACCAACAGATAAATGGATAAACAAAATGTGGTATTAGCCATACAATGGAATATCATTCTCCTACAGAGAAATGAAGTTCTGATACATGCTGCTACATGGATGAACCTTAAAAACATTAAACTGAGTAAAATTAGTCAGACACAAAAGGATAAATATCGTATGATCCCAAT